TACGGACAACAATCCGTTGACCTTTTACAAAACACAAGACACGGTCACTAGCACGATCGGTCGATGGATGTATTACATCGACCAGTTCGATTTTGACCCGTGCCACATTCCCAGTCCCGCCAATCGAGCTGCGGACGCCCTCTCACGATGGCCCGACTTTTGTGCCATTGTGACCACGGCATTCGACCTCGATGACGATCTGCAGCCGCATTTCGTCGAAGGCTACAAGTCCGATCCGACTTACTCTACGCTATATGCAGAGCTCTCATCGAATCACCCGCCGGCTAGCCACTATCGGATTTCTGACGGGTTCCTTCTCCTTCACACGAGAGGAAAGGACTTGTTAGTTGTGCCCCAAGATCGCACCTTGCGGACTCGTCTTCTCGGCGAATTCCACGACGCACGACTTTCAGCGCACCTTGGCGTGAATCACACATTAGCACGCCTCCGCCAGCGTTTTCACTGGCCCGACGTCCTTCATGACGTCACGAGTTACGTGGAGTCATGTGCAGTTTGCCACCGTAACAAGGGTCGATCTCGAGTCCCCTTTGCCGAACTAAAACCGTTGCGGATCCCTCGAGCACCGCGCCTCTCCATTGCTATGGACGTGACAGGCCCGTTCCCCCGTGATCGCCACAGCCATGACGGTATTCTCACGGTCGTTGACCGTTTGAGCAAGTATGCTCGCTTCCTTCCTTGCAAGTATCATGTTGCAGCACCCGAGCTCGCACGACTCTTGCACACCGGTTGGATTACCAACCAGGGTGTTCCAGAAGACATAGTGAGCGACCGAGATACTCGCTTCATGTCAACCTTTTGGACTTCCCTCATGGCTGAGTCCGATACGACAATGAAGCCGAGCTCGGCTCGGCACCCGCAGACGGATGGCCAGACGGAGCGAGCGCACCAGACCGCTCAGATGATGTTGCGTTCGCTCATCCGTCCCGACCAGAAAGATTGGGTTGACCGGCTTCCCGACATCGAGTTCGCCTATAACACTTCGGTGCACCCGGCGATCTGCGTCACACCATTCGAGCTACATCATGGTGGAGAGAAAGCACGGATCTTCGCTGATCTCCTGCTGCCACAGGCTGCCGACATAGACGTCCCTTGCTCTCCCGCTTCCGTTCGGAAGTACCGGGACTTGCTGATCAAAGCCCGCGCAAATATGCAAAAGGCTCAGATCCGCATGCAGCAGCAGGCTAACCGACGTCGACTTCCATGTCCTTTCCGCGAGGGAGACCTCGTTTGGGTCCTCTCCGAGGAATTTGCGCTCGAGCAGGACATTTCGCGCAAATTCCTTCCGAAATGGTTCGGACCATGGGAAGTCACTTCTGCCATTGGAGACGACCCCGCAGGTCCTTCCTTCGTGATCAACATTCCACCGCACCTTACAGTGCATTGGGTCTTCCACGCATCGAAGCTGGCCATCTACACTCCACCTTCAGTTGACGAGTTTCCCGGACGTCGATCACAGGATCCGCCTTCTATGGACGGACATCAGGGAGTGGACCGAGTCATCACGCACCGCAAGTATGGCAACAAGCCAATGCAGTACAAAGTCACATTCAAGCCATGTGCGCTTGAGGACACTCGGTGGATCTCTAGTGCAGACTTGCAGACTTCTGAACCCCTCATCTTCGCCGACTATGAGAAGACACGACTTGCCAAGGCAGCAGCTCGTCCCACCCGACCCATCCCGGTATCGGACAGACAACTCCGCCCTCGCAGGTAGCTCGGTCTTTTAAGAGGGGGAGTGTGTTACATCTTCGACGCCACACGGGTCCTACCGGACCCGACATAGGGGTAGAGGGACACAGTAGGGCCAAAGGCCCGGCCTTGGGGGTACTACAGGCCGTAAAGGCCTTACCTTGGACCAGACCCGACGGGCCGGCCCAAACGATATTACCGTTTGGGCCTGGCGGCGCTCTTGAGGCTGGCTGAACCGTCCATCTGGACGGTTCAGGGCACGGTCAGGCCTCGCAGCATAGAGGCCGACCTCTGCCCACCGGTACAAAAGTACCGGTCCAGCCTCAGTGAGGCTATCGACCTACCAGCATTCTACTGGTACGGTATGGTACAACGCACATTAGCGCTGGCGTTATTCTTAGCGCAGGAGCGAGGAGCAGGCAGCAGTAGCGCAGCATTAGCGCAGCAGCGGCGAGCGGAACAGCAGCAGGGCGACTGAGCCAGATCGACGGCCATCGCCACCTGAGGTATCAGGGAGCCGGAGGCCCTCTCCTCCCTCCCATCGTCAGTCCCCTCTCTCTCTCTCTCCTCCTCGACTCTCTCTTCTTCTTCTTCTTCTTCTTCTTCTTCTTCTTCTTCTTCTTCTTCTCTTCAGACTCCTTCTTCTTCTTCTTCTTCTTCTTCTTCAGATTGGAGACTTATACTAGTGGACAGAGATCAGTGTTGGACTTCAGTGGTATGAGACTGTGGTACTTACCAGATTGGAGACTTGGAGATTGCTGGGGTTAATACTTGGCAGCATCACAGTTCGGACACCGGTTACATTTGGACTCTGTATCTCCGACATTGGTTACTGATTGTCCTCGATATTTTGATCTGGTTGGATGACATTTTGGACTACCATATCSGTGACCTATCGGATTCTATCTCGGTGACCTACCGGTGCTGTCTACCTCCCCCACCTCCTTCGTCTCTCCTCCCACCTTTCATCTGTGTATGTGTGTACGGGATCTGGGCATCGTCCATGCTTGGCCCAGACCCCACCATCTCACGATTGTATGTGTGTGGAGTGATTCTTGAGTCAGTCTATGTGAGTCAGTCCGTTTATCAGACTTCCGCTGCATATAAGCTCATCCTACATTGGTTGATCTTTGGTTCTGCCCATACTCATTGAAGTATGTAACACAGCAGCTGCTGTATCCCCCACCCCGCAAACGGACAGTTGATAATCCAGACCCCTCCTGCATGCCAT